AGGAAAAATCACTTCTATGTAGCGACCCCCTCTATTTATGACCACGCTTGGGAGGCACAGAATTTTTTCCATACATTTCATGTTGAAGTAAACCTTTAGAAGAGACCATCAGAACCTCTGCACCAAATGCATAAAAGGTCAGATAAGAAAGCACGAAAAAATATTAACAAAACAAGGCAAGTAGATTAAAATGTATTTAAACTATTTTTGTATGAGGCTCTTATTTAGAGAGCTCTTTTTGACTATCTCCGAAAGAGATCTACAACCTCATGTTGCAGTCAAAGTGCACTAAAGATGACGCTGTCAAAAATTTATTTTTACAGTTGAAAGTTAAATTAGAAGAAAAAAAAGTTATCTGAGATAAAACTAAGTATCTCAAACAAACAAGCTTATTAACTAATTTTTATCATATAAAATTAAATGCTAACATAAACAAAAAACGTAATTGTTTATTTAAAGTAGTTCTATATTTCATAATTGGTAAAGTTATTTTTACACATATTACTATCAATAGGGAGTATTTTTATTGAAGCTTTGCAAGTTTATTCTTTGATTTGATTTTCATGATGACAACACAAGTGGTATTTCTGCACCAAGAAAATGACACTGACTACAATTAAAATTGTTTGTGAAAAATCATGTACTTTCAATATCATTTTGAAGTCAATGAGGGAGGTCACCCCTAAGAACGACCAACCTCCATTAAAGACCATTTTACAGTAGAACAGACAGTGGTAGCTTCCGAGAGGTTTCATTGTAAGATAGAAATGACTTCTATGAACATAAAAATGAAACTAACATTCCAAAAAGTACAGTTGGTCCACTAATTGTCAACAAGAACTTTAAATAGTGGGAACCAAATGGAATAAAATGAATTACGATTAATCAATAATAATAATTTTTTGAAGTGTTAAAGGCTATTTGTGAAAAAGAGCTTTTCCTTTTAACAAAATATTCATAAATTCAAAACAGATTATAATACATATTCTTTAATTTTATAAATTTATACAAACAGGCACAACATATATATATATATATATATTTCAGACAGACTGAGAGAGCTTTAATTAACTTAATTTATAAAAATATAATCATTTTCCATTACATGTAATACTGGTATTAATGGCACTAATGTTTCCTTAACCTTGAAGATATATCTCTTTTTATAACAATATCATTAAGAGAGAAAAATAAAATATTTACAAATAGTAAAATCATACAAAAAAAAAGACATTGAACTTTTTTAAATATTTAATCATTAGATGCATTTCAAAACTTTTATGAATATTTTTATTGTTATGTAAAAAAAAAGAATAAAAACACATACATTTTAATAAATCTACTACTTGAAAGATTTGAATAATGATAAGGATTAAGATGAATATAGATTTCAATGGATAGTGAGCCAGAATCAACTGCACTGCACGAAGCTTAAACAATAAATACATACTTGATACAGTGGAACCTCGTTAACACAAAATTGGCAGGACTATCATAATTATTTATGTTAACCAGATTTCATCTTATCAGATACATTATGCGAACATTTTATTACCTACTATTAATACATATTATGTACTGCATGTATGTACCAAACAAATTAAAATAAGCTTACAAATTTTAATAACTTAATTTAGGGTTGCACTCTTTTCGGGTGAAAGGTCACTTGCACAGAAGGTAGATTAACGAAGGGCTGCACTCATATTTAGTCATGTAAGCAGCAAATATGATAATTTTTATATAAACATTAATGTTCTTAGCGCTAAATATTTTTATCAGTAAACTTAATAACATATTTGCTGAAAATTAAATAATTTTAATTATTTAAACCTGAAGAAACTTATACTTTTTTTTAAATTTTTCCTCCTCTTTTCACAATAATTAATTTATCAAATATATATATATATTGGGAGTGGAGATATAAATTCTAACCAAAAAGCTTACAGAATAAAACTGCGAAAAATAAAAAATCTACGCATTTTATAGAATAATATAAATTTAAATTAAATATTTTAATTAAAGAAAATTTTATAATGTTTAAACTAGAACCAAATTTTTAAAAAAAAAAATTGCCTCAGAAGTTCCCGAAGGCGTACATCAACAGTAGGCGAGTCACATGTGGCCCGCGGGCCATAGGTTGTGCATCCCTAACTTAATTTAACTATTTTATTTATTTGCCCATCTGCTACTTCTATCAAAGGTTGATAAAAAAAAATAGCATTCCTTTCATGTTAAACGATAACCAGCTTGAAAATTTCATGTTAAACATGTAATATACAATAATAATTGATTGCTGACTATCGAACCACACATATGTGATTTTGCATTAATGAGGTTCAACTGCATAAGCAATTTAAAATTCAATCGAGATGGAAAGATCATTGGGGTATTTTATGGCTAGTAAAAGAAAAATTGCTGGAAGATTAAAATTTCGTATATTTTTATAAATTAGTTTCAATATATATTAGATTGAACAAAAGATATTGCTTAAGAAATTATAGGTTTTTTAACATTTTCACTTTTTAGCGAATCCATGTAGAATTAGACGTTACAAAGCAAATATTTAAAATAGGAAAATGTTAATTTTCGTTCTTGTATATATAACATTTGCATCAATACTGAATTTAGAAAACAATGTTGAACTGTGACTTTTCTATTATTATTTATTTATTTGGTAGGCTTTCTTCTGAATGTCCCTCATAACCTGAGCATCCCCATACCTTTCTAATAAGAGTAGTTTCAAATGCCATTCTCATTTCTCAGTACTTAATTATCATTAGGAGTGCTCAGATATTTTGTATGTCAAGTTTAAATATAAGTCAGAAATGGTATTCATCTGTTTAGAAATTTAAATTATTTTTTTGCATAGTACTTTAAATATATCAAGTATCTCAGTTAAACATAATTTGCCTGAATCAGACAGAAATAAAAATGGATAAAATAATTTAGTCTACTTTAGTTTTATTTCAATTTTTAAGAAAATACTAACATGTTATAAATTGCATAACTTTATAATCTAGGCTAAAATTAAAGGCTAGCTCACTCCTGCTAATCAAATTCCCAAATTGTTTCATCTATGGAACCCCAAATAGACCTTTCGGCGGAGCACCCCCGACTTTATAACAAAAAAAATTAAAGATAGCCTTGATTTGAAAATTGCAATGGGAAATACTAATTAAAATTAAAAACGTTATTGATTGAATCTAATTATAATTACAGGTTTCAAAAATTATTACTGGGTGAAAAAAAAGTCTCAATCTTTATAATTTTTTGTCACCTTTTGGGAACCACCATAACTATATTATACCATCTAACAGCTGAGTGATGCATGGACTTTTCCAAACTTATTAATATGATCCCATGACACATAAAGTTGAAGAACTCTGCTGCTTTAAATGAAGATATTAAATTTTATCTGATTCATATACAGCTTCAGTCTTCTATATTTGCAATAGTCTATGTTTCTGTTGCTATTGTTTTTACTTTTTTTCTAAATTCTATTTTTTAAATTCCTGTTAGCCAGAATTTATGCGAAAATTTTTTCAAGAATCTCTTTTTCTTTCTCTGTTGAACGCTTTCTTGCACTTGATAAAACATATGGTATATGCATCTTTTCTGCATAATTTGTTTATCTTTTTTGTCTTTGAAGAACTTAAAAATAATATCTAATTAAAAATTCAAATTAAAGTGATTTTAATTGCACAATTCATTCAACTACATGTGAATATGATTTCTCTAACAAAATTGCTCTAAGTTACTAACAATATGAATGGGAGAAAGTTTGCAGTGAAAATATTCACATATATCTTACTAGCACAATGTTAAGAAGAACATATTAGCAGGGGTGATTGTGAGCCCAACTCAAAAATCCTAAAAGTTTCTTGCGTAAAATCATTAATGACACATTTAAAAAATTAATGTCTTTATAAATTTAAATTGTTGATATTTTCACAACATGTAAAAGACAATTAAATAAATTATGTGCAGCGTAATTTAAATTAATAATTTTGCTATAAGTTTAATTTTTATCTTTAATCACATTTATTATTCTGCTAGAAAAAATATTTACAAATGAAAGAGATGCCAAGTATAACTTCTAGTTCCAATATTTTTAAATCAAATAGAAAAGAATTTTTATATATAAATGTGATTGATGATTTCTTGAAACTTCTGGACCTTGGATTTCCGGATCGCGGTTAGCGAAAAATCCAGACTTTTTCAGGAGCACAATCACCTCAGTATTAGGTAAAGACAATATCTTAAAAAAAAGATTTTAATTTATAAAATACTCAATCTCTAAACATGACTAAAAAATTCAAAATATATTTAAATATATTGTGTCTTTTACAAACAATCGGAAGTTTTAGTAAATACATACTTGCTGAAGACTGAAACTAGTAAATGTTGTTATTCACTCAGACCTTTTTATGAATGTAAAAAATATACAGGTATTAGGCTGGCAAACCCACTCTGAAATCCGCTGGTTCAGAGTGGGTTTGCCAGCAAACTCAAATTTGGATAATCTAAAACAAGCATTGATTTAGGTTTCTGTTTCCCTGGGAATATTTTTAAATAGCATATATATCCTGTAAATCTTAATTTGTAAAACTTCATAAATTTCCTTACATCAGTGTCCAAAATATTATATTGTATGAAAAAAAAATATAATCAAGCACAAACCAATTAGAAGTAAAGCTAGAGGACATCCGAAACTTTGATTGTTGGACTTTATTAATGCAGATTTCAAAACAATCAGGGTATTGAACTAACAAAACCTAGAAGGAGAAATAATGTTTTAGAGAAGACTAAGGCCCACCTCGGTCTGTTGTGCCAATAAGGATGTTTTGTCCGGATGTTAAAAAAAACTGAATAGCAATAGAAGTGATTTAAATTTATAAATCATAAATTGTCACAAGAAAGATGTTACATCCATATATTATGGTTTATTAACAAAATCCATTCAGAATTTGTCAACTAATATGGCACCAGAAACAGATTAGTTTTCAAATCTGTAATTAAACAATAATAATAATGATCACTCAAATCATTTCAGCAATAATAATTGACACATAATATTCGTTTTAAAAACTTAGCTTTTTTTCTTTTGATAGATTAAAAATTCATTTAATTGCATAAGCCGGGCTCTTTAAAAAAAAAAATTAAGGATTGAGGTTGCTCTTTTCAATACCAGACACGTTTCTTTGTCTTTACTTTATTGCTTATGGTCATAATTTTTCAGTATCATTTTAAAATTCCCACCTTAAATTACAATCGTTTATTAATAATTTTAAGGATCCGTAAAAATATTATTTCAATGCATTCAAATGAATTGTATTATAGTTCATCATATACATCTATTATTGAGTTTTAAAAACATAAATGACTTTAACAAGCAATAACGATGGATTAAAAAGAGGAAAAAGATTTGAAAACAAACTAACATACAATAGTCAAGACTATTTATATAGTTTATAAGTCACTATTAACTGTAGTGAATTAACATCTAGAACATTTATTTCTAATAAATCAACGGATAAGTTATGCAGCACAGAACCAGTGGAGCGCTTTTCGAACAGAGAATCTAATTCGTGCAAAGCAAAGGTACTTTTATCAACAAAAAAATTTTTTAGTAATAGCAGGAGGTTAATAATTTTTAATTCATTATAAGCACATTGCATTTATTATTTTTCGCATTGTTAATATTAGCTTTTTAATGACGACTAGGAAACTTGTCTTAATAGTGGACATCTCGTAATATGCAATATACCAAACTTTACTTTATAAGTAAAATTTAGCAGAAAAAGAGTTTTGTTGCTAAGTAAAAACTATGAACTATAAAATTGTTAGGGAACAAGTTGATAAGATTCTGAGGGTGCTCCACAGGCTCTGTGTTAAAGAACTCCCTTATTTTTCACTTTTTTATAAAAACAAAACAAAATCAGAAGAATATAATCAATTGAGATATGTTGAAAAACTCACAGTCATAAATTCCTTATTTTTTACACCATTAAAGCTCAACAGTTCTTAGAATATTTCACAAAAAAAAAATGACTTCACATTGAAAATGCTCTATTAAATACATTTTTCAAAACATTTAAGGTTTCCAGTCTAAAAGATATTCTTTTAAAAGTTGGGGTAAAGGCAATTTATTAATGTTCTGGGCAACCCTGTTGTCCACCGCGTTGTAAATGATGACGCGCGTCATCTGCTTCAAAGTCCTAGGTTGCGAACGCATCTGGCGCAGCAGCGTACTGACAGCCCCATTCATCGGTATGAGTGTTGTTTGAGTGCTCAAAATTTTAAAGCACTTGTACAGTTCTTTATGACTCATTGAGAAATAGTAGAGCCATATTAATTTTGTAAATGTTTGCTCTTCATCATTTAGAAGTTCTTCTTTCCTAATAATCAATTTAATATAATGATACAAAACCTGAAAGGTGAAAAAAGAAAAGAATTATTAACTGATTATTGAAAAACACTGATTAAAAAAATTAACTACAAAAACAGTTACTACATATGAGTTTAATACAAGTACATAGAAGAAAATGCTAAGCAAACATAATTTAAGACTCATTTTTAACATAGAAAAAGATTTTTAGCAAACAATACGATAAAACATTAAACTAGGGGTGCACAACTTTTTTGAGTGAAGGGCCACTTGCACAGCACATAGATTAACGAAGGGCTGCACGTATATTTAGTCATGTAAGCGGCAAATATAATGATTTTTATCTAAACATTAGTGTTCTAAGCATCAGATATTTTTTATCAGTAAAGTTAATAATATATTTGCAAAAAATTAATTACTTTTAATCATTTAAAACTAAAAAAACTGATAAATTTTTTCAAAAAACTTTTTCCATTTTTCACTATAATTAATTTATCAATATAGATATATACATAAATATTGGGAGGTGTGATAAAAATTCAAACAAAAAAGAAGCTTACAGAATGAAAGTGCAAAAAAAAAACTCTCCCTGCTTAAGGGCCAGATGATAAGAAAACAGGTGTTCAATGAGTCACCCTTTCTCACTGAGCTATGATTGAAAAGAAACAACTATGTAGGGGGTGAGAAAGAGAATGATTGATGATATTTATAGTACAAGACTCTTACTTCTCTTAACAGTGCAGAGAACTAATGATTATTTCTGAAATTATGGTAAAGTAAACATCTTTTAACAAAGAAAAAAAAAATCTTATGAGGGAAAAAAACCCTATTTTTCTAAAAAACGGAAGGGAAATGTATCGAATTTCGTTCTGGTTTTCTGATTTTCAGTTAAGGGGCCGTTCAAAAAGTATGTACATCCCGATAGGGGAGAGGGGATTTGCTATTTTGTATCATTTTGTACGATGGGGAGGTATTATACAAAGTATGTACATTATAAGCATACACCAAATTTAAATTTGACTGTTTCCTACACATGTATTATACATATGTTTGTTCTTGTATTTTTTTTCACACGGCGACCACTTGTTAGAATGAGTAAATCAGTTCTCAAAAAAAGTTGTCTCGCAAAATAAAAAATTGCTAACACCAAACTTTCCTGGAAACTTTTTCTGGTACCGGGTGAAAACATTGTTTAAATAATTTAAATGAATAAATTATTTTAAATAAATATTTTATTTTATTTAAAACATAATTAATTTAATTTTTATAAAAAAGGGGGGTAGACTAATAAAATGTACGTACTCTAAGGGGAGGGGGGAGTAAGACCTTATTAACGGTAATGTACAAAGGGGGAGGGGGTTAAAATGTATCCATTTTTGTGTACGTACTTCTTGAACGGCCCCTAAGAGGTTCTGCACTGTATATATATATATATGCCCGTTGCAGAATTTTTTCGAGCTATCTGCGACAAAATTCTATCACTAATATCTTTCTGCAAGATACTTTTAATAATAACAAATATATATGTTACTCATTTAAAGTAACAAAAGCACTGTGTTTACAACAACAAAAAATTTAAAAAATTTTTAATTGAACAAGTAAAAAAATTTTATTCTTACATTAAGGGAGATATTCATGCACTTTGTTGAGGGGAAAATAGACTATTTATTTCCGTCTTCGCAATTCATAAATAATCATCACAAAAAGAAAACTAAAATTTTTTACTTGCAAAATCTTTCTGCAAGAACTGTGTAACGTTCTGCGACAATGTCGCCGTGTCGCTGTAATTCTGCCACTGGGTATATATCCAACATAAAAAGCTTCTACTAATCTTTTTATGTTTATAATAGGGAAAGCATCTTAAAAAGATAATTTTTGTTAAATTTTTAGATGGTAATTAAAACATTTTTGGGGAGGGGGATATAACATAAAAAGTTTCAAGTAATCTTTTTATGTTTAGCATAGGGAAAGCATCGTAAATAGATAATTTTTGCTAAATTTTTAGATGGTAATTAAAAAATTTTTGGGGAGGGAGATATAACATAAAAAGTTTCAAGTAATCTTTTTATGTTTATCATACGGAAAGCATCGTAAAATAGATAATTTTTGTTAAATTTTTAGATGGTAATTAAAACATTTTTGGGGAGGGGGATATAACATAAAAAGTTTCAAGTAATCTTTTTATGTTATTTCTTTAATTAAATCTTTTCCTTAGTTTAATATTCAAAACTAAATGCTTTCTAACACTTTAATATTCGCATGCTGTCATTAAATCTATTTTTGACTTCAAGTTATGCATCAATTAACATTTTTGATTTTTCCCTTTTTTTGAACCGTGAGAAAGACTTTTTCCCTTGACCTATTAAAAAGACCAATTATAATTATTAATGTTTCCCTTATTTTAATTGAAATAATTTAAGGATTTTGCAAGATTATCTCTAACTTTTAATTGAGAGCTTAATTTTGTGTCACTTGGATGATTGTTGTTTTCTCTTTCTAATAATAATTAAATAAATATAGGGTCCTCTTCCCCTGCCTAAGCCCTGATTTCATCCTTCCTCTCGGCAACGACTTTTGATATATATATATTAAAAATATTTCATTACTTTTACGATGAACAACACCTAGCTACAACTCAAAAACATTTGTAGATGCCACTGTAAAATAAATAATGTATGAAAGATTTTAAGTCAGATACAAGAGATGAAAATATTAATAAATGTCCTCACCCAATTAGATGGTTTCTTAATATAAACAGAGCTCTGAGAATGATATATCATAGGTTCAGTACTACTAATACTAGTATTTGGATTTGCTCCGTATTGAAGCAAGACAAGAGTCAAATCATAAACATAATCCAAGTCCCATGGCACACGGGCATTCTGCACCATATCCATCAAAGCTAAAAGGGTATGCTGAGTTCTTTGGGAGAATCTCACATTCGGATCAAGTCCATGCTGCAAAAGTATGACTAGTAGCTGTCTCACAAAAGACAGAGCGTTGTCTTTTTCCTCCTTATTACTCAGATTGATATACTCACTAGCAGTAAAGATCAGGACATGCAGAGGCGTCAGATTACTGCGAGAAGAACAATTAGGATTAGCACCATACTTGCATAGTAAGCGGACACAATTAAGATAAAAAACTTTTTTTGTGTGAGTCAGATAGTGCAAAGGATCCTTGTTGATAAGGGGTACTAGACAAACCATAAGGGGTACAGAACCATCTCTACCTACGGAGTTGGGATTGCCTCCGTTCTGAAGAAGCATCTCTAACAGTTCATAGCGGAATTCCCAGTCCCTGATATGTCTCAGGACACAAGCTAAAGCACTGTTTCCTGGATGATTTATGCTGGGAAGAGCACCATTTTGAAGTAAGTATCGCATTAAATGAAGCATGTCCCACTTGTTCCAAGGCCTAGGCTCCTGGTTGTAGCCATAATGTGATTCTTCTAAAGCATATCGCACTATTAAAGCATGCAAGGGAGTGTTGCCCAGAGTATCTGGTTCGTTCATGAGTTCTCGGCAACCGTGGTCGAGGAGCATTTTTAATGTGTTTAATGTTTCTTCTGCAGACTTTCTTCCTGACAACAAAACCACATGAAGCAAAGTCATTTGCTGTGTGGCGGTTCGAACCATCATATCAGCCCCGCATTGAATCAACAATCCAAGAAACTTTAGATTTTGAATAGCAGCTTGATGAATAGGATAATACTCATCATAGCACTGGTTGATTTCATCAGAGCGTTCAGAGACTAAATATCGTACACAATTCCACGCCCCCCGTTCACAAGCTAGATGCAGCAAGGGTCGCTTTTGTTGCCAAGGTAGCCAATTATCTTCCCCTTGGGCCAAAAGAAGCTCCAAAATTTCAGCTTGGTCACCGTCAATGGCATAATACTCAGCAGACTGTAGCCGATCGGACGTCCGGTCTTCAATTCCCATACCGGGAACAACATAAAATCTTAACTCACAATTTTGATTATGAGGACCCGGAAAACACATTCTTGCTTCCAGATCCACTCTGGCGCCATGTTTCAACAGAAGCTCAACAATTTCTTCTGTTCCATGAAATGCAGCAATATGCAAAGGTAAGCTACAAGCTCCTCTGTTAACATCACAGCCTCTGTTCAAGATCCATTTAACAAGCTCAACGCAATTGAATCCTATAGCGCGTTGAAGCAAGTTATATCCATCTGCACTTTGAACAGAGAGAATGTTTTCACCCTAAGAAATGCAAAACAAATGAGTTTAGTGTGCTTTAAAACTTAAAGAGCAACTATATATACAGTATACACTATTACTTATCTTTTAACAATGTGGGACATTACGTTTAGCGATAGTCTAAAACTAGATATTGTTGTTAAGTTTAAGTAAACAGTAAATAACATGGTAAAAAACTGAAATTAGAAGGAAAAAAATACGAATTAAACTGTAATACTTAACTGAGAATTTTGCCGTTGAAGTTTATTTATAAAAAAAGAAATAGCTGCTTTTGTTGTGCTTCCTAAAGTTTGGAACAAAATGATTGCACACCAAGATTGCACACTATAAAATGGAAACAATTTAAGATACTAATTAATTAACCACGAAAACTTACCACAGTTAGTCTGATGGCAAGGGCTCTTTAAACCAGGATACGTCTACCAATGAGGATATTTTAAGCCAGCACTGTGGTGGTGAGTGCAAACTGGGTATACAAATCGAATTGATCAGCCAACGCTTGGATTCGAACCAGGCTCGCCTCATTGAGAGGCGAGCACTCTATTCTCTAAGCCACCATGACTCCTACACAATTCATTGCACCAAATTTAAATTGCAAAATAGAAAAAAAATACAATTTATTATTTTATTTGCAGGCCTTGTCGCCAGCCTGTCATTATCCTTCACACGTTTATAAAGTTTCAGATGGACGTGCTTTTACTTTATTTCGCAGGAAAACAAAGATTTATCTAACATAAACTTATAAAAAAACAAAAATGAACAATTATATAAGTAAGGTTGACAATGAAAGCAAATAAAAATTTTCAATTTACTGTATTATTCAATACTAAACATAATCCTCAGTTCCATACAAAAATTTCGTTCACATCCCTGACCCTAAATTGGCTGCTACTAAGAATAAATGTTATTTGGGTCACCAGCAGGACTGGGCTATAAATTGATGTATCGAGACATATCAATTTAACGCATATATCGACAAGACGATACAGCGACTTTCATTCCAGGCGATGCAACAGAAATCTGATTTAAGCCGTCGAGTAAAGACAACGAGCGCAAAACGATATAGCGATATAAGACACGCAAGGATATAAGATAACAATAATCGATATAAGACTCTTCTCTTACGTTCCGATGTCGACTAGCGCTGTGGAAGACGATGTTCGTTTCGTAACGTTGAAATGGCCTTGATTGGTGAGCTGTAGAATCAGAGTTTTGAGAACATATATCGTAATATCGCATGTTCGTTTTCGCACCTCTTAGTTTTTTTTCCTTGTTGCAACTTGATATCGTTTCTTGTAAATTACTTTCAGTGGGACTAACTTCGTGATCGCGAATGTTACCTTGTTCTGAAGGCAATCTATTATTGAAAAGAATATATAAATAAAAGTTTCTTCATTAATTAGATAAGTTTTTTTTAACAAAACTTTTTTTTATTTTTAAATGTGAAAATTATCGGAAATCTAATTTAAGGCGCCCATAAAGAATTAAATTTGTTAGGTTATTTTTTTACTTTCTTTTAATTTATTAAAAACTTTTTGGATAAAACTTCTAATAATTTAATAGGTTTTTATTACTGATTTTAAATTTATAAATCTTGTTTTTATTTTTAGAAATAAAGTTAAAACAAAACTTATTTTTTGTCATTTGGATTTGGACATAAGTCAACCAACATTGTTTAATTCAAAAAAATTTGAAATGTTTGCGTATTTTATTCATTTTTTTTAAATCATTAAGCACTTTGTTTTCGTAGAAAAGTTTGTTTTTTCAAAAATATTCTTTTTATATTATTTGTTAATTAGCTAAATATATTATCGAATATCACAATTCTTTTGTTTTTAATTTTAAGAAATTAAACGTTACTTTGTTTTTCGTTCATAATTCGGTCATTATTCAATTTAATTTAATTATTTATCTGGAATAATAATAATAAATAGTGTTTTAAAAGCGTTTTTTTTCTAAAATTTATTTAGCACTTTGTTTTAAACATACAAATAATTTTTAACGAACTTATTTTTTAAATTTTCTTTTTATACTGTTAGGTAAATATATTGATAAATTTCAATTTTATTTATTTTTCTTATTATTTATTTTTAAATTAAGAAATCTTTCGTTTATTTGAGTGATCATTTTTACAAAATGTAACAAAACTTGCATTTACTTTTTCATTTAGAAATTGAACATTACGATCGAACTTAATAATTATGTAATTATTTACGCATAATAGTACAAGAAAATATTAATTTGTAAAAAACGCTATAAAAAAACAGTTTTTAACACTTTGTTTTAAGCGTATTATGAATTTCTAAACAAATATTTCAATAACTATTTTAAGTAAGATTTGTACATTGTAGTCAATTTATTTAATATCTTTCTTGAGCAAAACATATATACTTCAAATTTATAAATTGATTTAAATCAATCTGAGTATGGAGTTTTGATAGAAATATGACTTTCTGTGCCTTAAAAGTAAATGAAATTCAAAAATACTATATTGCGATGCATCGCTATATTGCGATGCAAAACTGACGATGCANTTGCCGCTAGTAAAAAAATTGGCATAAAAAAAGAGACTCATCTTGCAAAGAACCTTTCGTATAACAACAAGTAATTTTATAATTTAATTTAGTGAAATAATTTCAATTTTGTCAACATATGTGCTAGCTACTCCCTCATGTTTTTGTTACGATATATAGTTGGCTACTATACATGTTGGACCCTTCTTTACGTGCTTTATAAAGCACGTAAAGAAGGGTCCAACATGATTGCATAGGATCTCTGTATTCTTTTCCAAGGTTCTAATAGTTTTCACATGGTTCTTCCCTCTTTAAAATGTATTGTTTATGGGCGAAAAATATCAAAAGTTTCTTTTGCTCAAGTTAGGGGGGCCCCAAAATCCTATTATGCTTCCCCTATTTTCAGAGGTTAATCGGGCCCTGAATCTGAGTATGGAGTTTTGATAGAAATATGACTTTCTGTGCCTTACAAGTAAATGAAATTCAAAAATACTGTATCGCGATGCATCGCTATATCGCGATGCAAAACTGACGATGCATACATAATTTCTAATATCGCCCAGTCCTAGTCACCAGTGACATTTAGTGGCAGTGAATGGCTATAACAACTATAGGATGGTAATGATGCAAGAGACAAGATTAACTCTGACAGCATAACTATTTCTAAATTGCAGTGAAACATAAAAAATATAGTTTTTCATGTTTAATACACATAGCAATTATAAAAAAAAATTTCCTGACCCATTTTAATTTTTATATAGAGGAAGTACATCATGAAAGACCGAAATTCTAATAAGGGACAGAGTAAGGTAATAATATATTTATATATATTTAGCCTGGACAAAAGTAGGTAGTATATAGCTCTGTTAACTGCATATTATTTTGCTCTTCAGAAAGTGCCAAATATATAGAAACGAATTAAAAGGAATTTTCTTTCAGTTTGCTGTTAACATGGGGGAGCGAATTACACATTTATAGAGAGTGAATTACACATTTATAGAGAATGACTCAAATAAATTTCAAAGCTAATTAACTTTAGCTCGCTAAAATGGCACGTAAAATCTTTATCCATTCAGCTTTTCGATTATTTATCAATAACATCTCTAATAGGGAATATTGCAAAAACCACGATTGGAAACTAAAGTACCTAAATTAAAATAAATAAATTCTAACTCATACACTACTCACTTTAGGAATATTGCTAATATATGTTTCGATGTGGCACCATTCAATATGTGATAATTCTTTCTCCCTCATGTCCTGAAGAAGGGCAAGCACTATGTTCTTAGTGGTCTCTGATGTTCCAGACGAGAGGAGGTGACCCCCGGTCTGGAAAAAGCTACTGATCATAGAGCCCATTCTCCTCAACAGTCCCGGGCTACAGCAGCCGCCGTCCTCTTCCTCTTCACACGCCTCCAATGCTCACGATTGCTCGGAGAAAAGCACAAAGAGAATAGCACTATAGCACACACACATTAGTGTAGGGATTTTACGAAATGTCATTTTGTGCTCTGAAAGACATGCATACGTCCAATGTTTATCCGGCGCATTCTTTTTTTCAACTTAATAATGCATTCAAATGGAACTGAAAAGAGTAAGAAAAATAATTATTAGCTAGCAATTTTTGTTACTAAGAAATTGAACAGTTAATTTAATCATGTTAAAAAATTTACATATTGATGAAAATTAAACTATAGCAGAAACCTAGGATGAGGTGGGAAAGATATAGACCTAGGATCTTTCCCACCTCAAATTAAACTATAGTACAGCCTGCAAATATAGCCATTCTATCCCATTTAGAACGAACACAGAAATCTTTATTTTCATAAAAATTTAACGAAAAAAAAAATTACTACGGTCATCCAGGTGTGCAAAAATTTCTCAGAGTCTAATATTTTTTCTAAACTTATTTATTTATTTTTATTTATTTTTTTAATTTTCCTTAAAATTATAGCTTTATATTTTTTGATACCATAATGGCTTCAAAATATTTTAGAAAGTAAAGATTGTATATAAAAAATTTTTGATAATTTTTCAACAACCAAAAAATAAAATTCACTTGATTTACAATTCGTAAATAAACTAGCCTGTGTATTAAAAATAATAGAAATCAAAATAAATTGAAATAGTAATAATTTATAAAACTAAATTTAAGAAACCATTCATAAACTAATAAATAAAAAAACTGACATATAAGGTTGTTACTTGTGTTATACTTAACATAACAAAATATTCTAACACTTTTAAAGACAAGCAAATCTTTATTCTTCTTTCTTGAAAGATTTTTTTTTTCTGCAATGATAAAGTTTTTCTTGTAAGATTCTTTCCATTTAAAATTTTAGTACAAGAAAAAAAATTTAAAAGATACTTTTTTTCAGCAATAAAAATTTTCTAGCAAACTATTTTGTTTTTTTTCTTTGGATTACATATTTTCCAAGCGATGCCTGAATATCCTCCTGATCCTTATTCCCACGATCGGACATATTTTGCACTCTAGATCATCTAAAAAGTGACATTAAATTAACTTCTTAGCTGCTTCTTAATTAATTTATAACTACAAAAGCTAGAAGACAATCAACTATCCATAAGCATATCTAATATCTAACTTTAAGAAAGTACCCTTCCTGGACAAAATATCTGATACATAGGAAAAAACCATCAATCTGTTCCTTATTTAAAATTGTTATAAGTTTCGTCAATAAGTAAAATTGCTTCTCATTTATTTTTTCTTATTAAGTCACACATTTTATCTTCTGTAGGTTAAAATTTTCTTTTCAAGTTAAGATTAGTATTTCTCAAATTCAGGTAATCATCTATTTCATTATGATTAACATGTAAACAAAATATTCTGTGTTTTTGTGGAAAATATTCACGTTTAAGGAAAGAAAAAAAAACTATGAATGAGAAGTAATGATCGGGGTTGGCAAACAGAGCCTTCTAGCTTTGTTTTTTTTTTTTTAAACTAAAGTGTTTATTCACGCCTGAGAATTAATATGTCCCACCCATTAATTCTTGAGAGAAAAATTTTACATGCCATATCATAAAAATTTTATCTTAGAGGTATTCTTAGTATCCTACTAAAACACTTAAAAATAAAAAATATTGTCTTTCGCATTTGAAAACTCTAAAAGTTTGTTTTCTACCCTAAAATGGCCAATTCGATAATCAATGAACATGTAGATCAATTTAGGAAAAAGAAAAGTTTAAAAAATGATACATAATTGTTAAAATAATGTAGTGACGTATCTATAAAATGCGCAAGATGTTAAAGTTTTCTCCCATCTTAACTAGTATTGAAAGAAAAGGAAATAGCTCATTAAAATAAGAAATTAGTGAAACATTTATTTTTGGTACAAAGTTATCAAAATTGAAACAAAAAAATCAAAATTATTAAAAATTATCAGCTACTGACAAAAATCACTATCGTGGATTCATAGTTTTATTTATGCATTTAGTAACAGTGAGTAAAGGCAATAATAGTTACAACATTAACCTAAATTTTGAGTTTTCAATTATTCTATATATTTTTACACTTTGCGACTGTGTATGAAAATGTTAATGTTTAAAAATGAACCGTGATGGCTCAGGGGACAGAGCATTCGCTTTCCAATGAGGTGAACCGGGTTCGAATCTGGTTGATTCGCTAGTCGATAAGAATTCCTCATCCAGTTTGCACCGACTTTGGTAATGATGTGGAACCCTATGACAGAATTTTTTCGGGCTTTCTGCGACAAACTTCCCTAGCATTAATAATATATTTTTCTTTAAAATAATTTTAATTATAACAATTACTAAATTAAAGTAACAGAAACGTTGTGTTTACACAAGATAGTATAGAATAAAACGTATAGAAAGTTTTAATTGTAAAAGTAATATTTTTTTTTAATTCTAATATTATTGGCACTTTCTCACATTTTGCAGGTGGAAAAACGACCTTATTATTTCCCCTTTCTAATTTTGTAAATCATTACAAAATTTAAATTCATAAATAAATTAAACGATAGTAAATTAGAACTTGTACATAAATTAAGAATCGTAAAATTCATGTAGTAATTCCAAAATAAAGATAGACTACAAAATCACACGAATGGGACTAAAATCTATCTGCAAAAACTCTGTAACGTTCATCCAACAATGTGGCCGAGTCGCCGCAATTCTGCCACAGGGATGTGGAATATCCTCAGTGGTAGATGGATCATGAGTTAGAGTTCCTTTGTTGTCATAACATGTTTTTACTAATAATTCTATAAATATGATAAATCTTTTCGGATCAACACTTGTGTATACTATTTTAATAACTCGTTGTTCTTTTTAAGCCAAATAAATAACCACGATTCGTCTTGATGATTATCAGTTCAGAGAGTAATATAATTTTATTTTACTTATTCTTTAATATTTTTTTCCTTATTCTTTAATTTTTGAAAATAAACTTTTAATTATATATATTGGTTCCAGAAGAAATATTTCAAAGAACTATAAATATCTAGTACATAATACATTGTTCCATTAAAAAAGTAAAGTAAAAAGGTTTGCAATGTGTTATGTAATAAAGCAGACATTATAGTAAGCCATTTAAGTTTGCACATTTTAAAGAAGAAATAACTTTTTTCAATGCAATGAGATAAACTAAATTAAATGGAAGAGATCCTAAATGAGAATAAGACTAAGATTTATGAAATTTGTTGAAACTTAGTTTTCAGACAGACTTTGTTCATTTATATTGAGTTAGTAAATTTAATATAAGTGATAAAACTAAAACTAGAAATTTCATCACTAAATTATAAAAGAAATTTATGCTTAAAACTATTTCATTTAAACCAAATTTGTTTTTTTAAGGGGAAAAAAAGGAAAAAAACTATATTTGGTTAGAAATTCTTTGATAATTTGTCAAGTTTTTTTCTGTATTGATTTCATTTTATAATAAATGAAATAATTTTATTTTTAAAAATCAATCATATTTGTGAAATTTTGAAATTTCCCTTTAGTCAAAAGAAATAATGAATTCTGTACTTTAAGTTTTTTTTTATACATATATCTATATATATATTAATGAATTGTTTTTCAAACTTTAAAATACAGGACAATTATAATAAGGTAATCTGTCTTACTGTTTCTATACCATATAAAATATTCATTATTAATATTAATCCTAAATATTGTTGATATTTTTAATTAAATTAAATATTTCTTTAAATTAAAATATCTTGTAATTGGCAATCTGAAACATTTCATAAGTCTTTAGAGAGAAGTTTTGTCAATACAAAAATTAATTTAAGCATAAAAAGAAGAAAAACTAAAAAAAGTAAATACGTACTTCAACTGTTTATATTTTAGTTTGTTAAAGAAAATTTTATCAATTTGTTTATTTACACACAAAAATAAAGAAAATAAACTTTATGAATACTAAATATATCAAGTATATTCTTTAATCATTTATTTGCATGCATAAATTATGTTCATTTCTCTTTTTGTGCCCTAATCAGACTCAAATTTATAGCATTTAATTTATGAAAAACAGTTATTCTCAATTGAAAACAATAAATGATATGTATATTTAATACACAAAATAAAAAATTACATAAATAATTTTTTTCACTTCTATAAAAATTATTAAATTTCAGTTGTCTGAAACATTAGAAATAAATTGATAAAACTAAATATATATCTTATGTTATTTAACATAATTAAATAAATTATGTATATCATAGCTGAGAGTTACTTCCAATTTTAAATGGGGGCAAAATAAAAAGTTTTTTTTTTCCATTGCAGTTTATTTTACACAGGGATAGAAGCTTCCTGATTTCATTAAAATCCAGTATTTCATTAGTAATAATGAAATAAAAACTCAACAAATTTTACAGCTAATTTAACACATTGAACATTAATATTCTTTAGAAAAATATCATCTCTTCACATCTAAATATAGAAGAAATAAAGAACTATGAATTATTCATATTCAGGAAAAATTATGTATGATTTAACTTTTTTTAAATTAAACTTTTGCATTTTAAAAATATATTTGTAGCAAAACTTTCCTCATTTAGATGTTACTTTTAAAGCCACATATACTGGGATTATAATTAGAAAAGCTAATTTAAGGAAGACCATAACTGCTCTCAATAAAGAAAACTAAAAAATTACGATTTCATTAATTTACAAGTTCAAATGAATGAATTTTTCTTCACAGTAAATAACATAATAAATATTGACGATGTAAACTTTAAAGAAATAGATAATCAATGAATTTGCAATAAAATTAATTACCAGGTATTTATGAATTTTAGATAGTTAAACAGGTATTTATCTTTGTTGATCTAAATTCTAATATGGATCAACAGATCATAGAATTCATAAAATGTCATAAATATATACACAAAACAAAACCTAAATTTTAAATAAATGTATCGTATGAAAACAATGGTAATTTTCAAAATTAACTAAAAGAATATGATGAAGAAAAATAATAATAAAACAAGAGAAATGTTCTCTTGTAATGAAGAAAATGTATAGAATAAAGAAAAATGAATGCCTTAATCATTCACTAAAATGTTAAAGGCGAAGTTAAATCTAACTTTACAAAAGAATACAATGAAATACAAAAACAACTATGATATTAAAAAATACTTATATAAGTCCTCTTAAAATGAATAAAATATTTAGAATAATAAGTATTATAGGAAAATAGATGTTAATCATTAAATTAAAGAATGTTCAAAAAAATAGTACAATATGCAGAATGATTAATTAAAGGGGCAGAGACCCAATATTTATAATAAAACAAAAATAATTTAAGTTGCTTTATACATACACAAAAGTACATTTAGAATAACATAGTATGTAAAAGAATCCAGCAGAAAGCTTCAATAGGATAATTTTTATTTTTATTATAAATATTATAAAAACGATGCAGCAATAGTTAACAATTACTCGTTAAGTTTATTTGAATAGTAATTATTTTAATAAAAATGTGTATTCTGCTGCGATTGTTTTTTTCTAGCTACAATCAGCGTTTCAAATATTACTAATGCGCTAGGCGTAAGTTTCGAAAAATAATCTTAATTTTGTAATATACGGATTTAAAATTAAGATATTAGAAAAACATTCTCACTTATCAGCCTCTTTTCTGTTCAAAGTAATTTAATTAAGGCTAGCACCCAAACGTCGTCAGAGCTACCTCTAACTTTCCCTAATTAAATTAAACAGCTTATTACTCTAAATCAGATGATACAGCAAAAGTACTTTAAAAACAAATGATCATATACGAATTTCAACTTAACATTCGACTTACTATTGACATTTAAAACCAGAACTAGCAAAGAAATTCTTAATACGAAATAGGACAGGCTTTGTTTATATGTGTATAACGTAAAGATAATTACAATCAATACTCTTTTTTTCTTAAGTTAATAGAGGGTTTGTCACTTCGATGCTTTCCTTTTTAAGCTTTATATTTGTTAATTTCATAACTAAAATTCCTTAAATCCAGCCATTATTTCCACTGCACCCACTTTTTCAAGAGAGAAAAGAAAAATTAGCAAGTTCAGTATTATGTAACAAAAGATGGCAACGTTGATAAAATTATATCCGGGAGAAAAAGTGGTATGATACTATGCACTGAATGGCAAAAATAAATTGTAGTTAGGCTCAATGCCTATTTTGCAAATGCGGATGATACTTTCGAAAAGATTCCTTACTAGATTCGCTCACGCGCAGGAACATTCCCGCTGCAAGCGATGTACTTCCGTTTATCGTCGAGAAAATATGAGAACCTCATTGGTAGATAGGTACTTTCACTTCATCACACTAGAGCTGCACAATGGGCTGGGAAACATTCCTGAGGATAATCCGAAAACTTGCAATCGCAATTTTGATCCTCTGCAGAGGAGATGGTTCACCTGCTTTGGAAGCCTGACGAACTGCGAGAAAAACAGAGCACTTTAAGGTAGAACAGTTTAACGAGGACCGATACCTGCACCCTCGGTCCCTACGCAGGCTAATCAAAGTGGTTACCCACTCATTTACTGACCACAGCCAGAGATGCTTAAATTCGGTACTCTGCAGAAACAGTGTCTATACGATCTACACTGTGGGACTTAATTTTTTTCTCTTAGAGGCACTTTTATTTACGTCAGCGTCGAGCTACTCCAAGGGATATTGGTAACGATCTCTGGGAAACACGCGCGAGAAAGATCCGAAAACACTATACAAACGTTTCATCCCAGTTTACAGGGAGTAAACACTTACATATCATCCATCCACATATCGAAATTTTGATCTGAAGAGCGCGATCCATCTTCGGTACAGTAATCCCAATTATATTGATTTGTTATAAGAACTTAGAGGACTTTGTGACCCCGATAAATTTAGCGTGCACCAGTCACCATTTTGTACATCGAGAGTCTTCGGCCGGCGAGAATCGAACTCACAATCTCTGCAGCATGGGCCCAACCCCTTACCAGCCAGTCTCTCCTGGACCCTTCTTTTATTAGAGTCATTCTCTGAAAATATTAAGTGTGGTATTTACAGAAGTGTGCTAGGCTAGTTCTTCGATAAGATACCTCAGAAAAGAATAGTGTAGTCATGAAAAATAGCAGAAGTAAATAAATAAAATTATAAGATTGTTAATAATCTTAAAGAATTTTTAAAAAAAATACTATACACATTTAAACTCATTTTTATTAAAAAAAAAAAAAAAA